ATTTTTATGTCTTTAATAGCATATATAATGTTTCAAAGTAGATTTGAAGTTAATCCCTAGATCCCATGTTAATTTGATCTAATGGGGCTCCCCAATCCCAGATATCCTGCAGTCATGGCTAGAAAATCAACCCAACTTCTCAGAACCATCATATCTTCTAAATGGTTTAACTTAATATTTATCCCACCTCTACTTCAAACTACCTGTGCCCTTTTGGGACCAAGCCCCTCATAAGAGCTCATACGAGTACAACATATAGATTAGATCATTTCAGGGTAGTCAGACCCAAAACGTGCAGCTGAAGCGAATTTGGATTGGAATTTGCTACCCCATCTCTCAGAAATGAAGAAACTTCTGATGTAGGTAAACGGAGCCTCTAAAACACAAGGAAAATTTCACTGATTTTAGACCAAAACAGATTTTCAGATGTAGTTAAGAGTGTATTTAAAACTGAAAATGCTAAGTATATACGACTTTAAAATTTTAATGTTTCAAACAAGATGGTAGGATAGAATCTGAATGCAACTCTGGGAAAACTGACAACATGAATGGATGGGTATAAATGTTAAGGCTTAGAATGGAAAAACAGACCTTATGATGGAACATCAAGTTAACAGAAAACAGAATTAAAATGCTGGAGATGATTTAATTAGTGGGAGATGTTCAACATCCTCCACATCATGTTCCAGGTCCATCTAATTAGTCCCCCACATCTTAAAACTGCATAACAGAAACAGGCCTGTTAAGTTCATGGCTCTACAGCAGGTGTGCTGAACCTCAGAAACATCCAAAACATGCAGAGCAGGGTGCCTTGAGGACCAGGATTGAAAAACACTGCTCTACAGCACTGAATTTATTCTATGCTGGGTCCATTCCATTGGGAAATCGCCTTATAGCCTACAATATACTCATTTCAAGGAAGAATTTTTTTTTTTTTTTGCAGTGCCCAGTAGCAAACAGATAAGTAATGCATGAATTTACACTATATCCCTGTTCGCTACCGGGGTGCCGTAGAGGGTGTTAAGGTTGGTTTATACTCAAAAACCAGGGCATCTGTGTGTGTCGCAGTGAATGCAAATGTGCCCCCGCCTCTGACGCAGACCCCCTGGTGCACCTCTCCAAATTTGTAGGTGTCTGCAGACAGGAGGCCTCCGATTGGTCAAATACATCTGCTCTACACTATGCATATTTCGTGTTTGGTACCTTACCGGCTTGTTGTGTTTGTATGACTGCCATTGTGGAAAAAGACTCATGAAGATATCAATATTGGGCATAATCATAAATATCTGCAAAACAGCTCACAGAGACACACTGCTGCAGGAGTATAACCAGCCCTTTAATCCTCTCTGGATTTTGTAGATATATTTTTAGATCTTTACCTGATTGCCCCAAACTCCTGTAAGGCCTCTACAAGGTCAGCCTCTGTGACTCCATCCATCAGTCCCCGGACATGAACCACAACTGAAGGAAGAGTCTTGTGTGGGTCTTCGTATCCCTGCAGCAGCAGAAGAAGAGGAGGAGCCATTATAAACACCCGTTTATTATGCTACAGGTTGGATTTGTTGCCAAAACTAGATAATGGAGAGTCCCTGGAATGGGTTATGGTTGCTCTGTACAGAAACCAGGAGGGGGGATGGGGGGGGGGGGGTTTGAAAACGTTTGTTTTTAACTAGATCTGCTGTTTAATCTGGGGGAAAGTAGGGGAAACACTGCAAAGTTAGGTTTGCCAAGAGACTCCAACTAGTGATTACTTAGCTCCTCCACAATGGGTCAATAAAACTGAGGCTAACACTGGTTAAGAGTTGGCTAAACGCTTTAAAACATGGATCAAATAATGGAATAATCACACTGCAATAATATAGACTGTTATTCTAGCTTCTTTACATCTACTAATTTGTTCCTTTGGGAGGAAAATATGCGTTTTACATCATTTTCGGGGAAAAAAGCAAAATCCCATTGAAGAAAATAACGTTTATTAGTTTTTAAAAGCTTTTTTATTACCTAAAACAAGAATAAAATGTGGGAAAAAATACAATGGATATTCAGCTGGACTGATGGCTAAAACAGCTTTTCAGGTCGTATAGGTTGCAGACCCCTATTAGCCCAGAGGGATCATGCTACATTAGCGGTTCTAGGACAAAGTCGGGCTCCAGATGAGGCCCGGAAAAAACCGCCTTCTCTGGCACTCATTCAGAGCGAAAAACAAACACGTTGAAAAAAAAAAGAAAAAAATCATGGAGCTTTCGGTAGTTATATAACCTATAAAATCAACTGCACGGCTAAGCTAGCCTCTTTCCAAACGGTGGAACAACAGGGGTGGAACCCCCTTTGCAAAAGCCTACATGATTGAATATATACGAAACCCCCCGAAGCGGTACCGATAAAACTGGTTCTAATCGTTCCGAACGTGAAAAGAGGCTGTGACGCAGGCGTTAGGGTGAAAACTCACCGCCATTCCGTCGGTTTTCTGTCGTTTTGTTGCCCTGCCGTCTTCGCTGTAGTAACGGCTCGCTGCAGTAGCCATGTTGTCCCGGACTAAAAGAATGCTGAACTGAAATGGACGGAAAATTCATGAAAAACGAGGCGTGCATAACAACACCCATTATAGTGACGCAAAGCGCGCTGATAGGCTGGAGGGATTGTCGATCTTTCCTTTTAGCCAATAAGAGATGGGATATCATTGGTTGTAGTTTTTACTGCCCAAAACTCGAATAGCAGTCATTAGGCGATTATAAAATACACCTTACAAACTTAAACCCAAGACCAAACCCATCCTTTCATATAAAAATATCCAAACATATATCCTTAAAGAACATCTTTTATTTTAAACTTAGACATAGAAGCAATCACATTGTTACAATTCAAAACAATATATCAGCCAGGTTTAGACTTTAAGTGTTGTATGGCATTAATAAAAAATTTAATTTAAAACATGTCATAAGTCGGTACCGTTTGAAGAACGCCATTTTTATATAAGTAGAAAAGGAAAACGTTTCATGTTTTATTTAGACAATTTAGAGTTGGGTTTAATTTGGTCAAAAATTTAAAGTGAGTAAAATTTTTTTTTTTCCTGCATATTATGTTGTTGCACATCCAGCAAATCCCGACGCCCGATACTGCGTCCCAGATATTTCTCTGGCAGCACATAGCACCAAACTGGTAAACATTGCAAGATATGGAGGTGGGTTCTTTTTCAGAACACTCCACTTTATAGCATTGCAGCATCTATGCAGATATAGACAAACACCTCATAATAATCTGTATGATGTGACCCAGTTAAAAAATAAAAATCCATGGCCCATAGGTGGACTGTGAAGTCATTTATGCAGCTATTAAGAAGTCAATATTCCAGTAAAACCTCTTCAGCTTTACATTTTATCATTTGCAAAGAAGCAGCTTTTCCCTCCCTACTTCTTTGTGTTAAAAAAAAAAAATCCTACACCCACCCAGATGAATGCTGGTCCCACCCCTGACAGCTTCATTTTTAAACGTATCCACATAAATTGTTCGATACATAATAAAAAACATAACTGAAAATATATGACCTCAACTAAAAGATCCAGAAATAAAAATGTAATTCATCCTCACATGAATTAACTGGATCCTACACTGCATCTAAAAAAATTATAAAAAACAAATCCTTAATATAACCTAGGAAGTTGCTTAACAACCTGCTTTAGGGAAAAAAATGAAATAGAATTCAGCCTATGATGCAGGCGGGTGGGTGTTATTATTTAGCATAGCTAGCATGGTCGCTGGTATTTTGGAACTCTCCAAACTCTGAATCAATGAGACAAAAGCTCTAATTTAGAAGGTAAATAAAACCACATCTAGTGATTATTGGATCAATACTGAGACTCATTTCACCTAAAAGCTAAATCCTGAGGAACTTTTATTCTAGTGCCGTAAACAATACATGCCCCTAGATTACCGCTGCACTCTAACAGCAGTTTAAAAACAATATATTGAACAACTGATCCAAAAAAGAAACAACTACAGCGTAAGATGATGAAGATGTTTATTTGAAAATAATACAGCCACACGTTTACTTCTAAAGCCAAAAAAAAAAAAAAAAAAAAAGCTGCACCAACTCAAGCATTTTAAAACCCAGTCGGAGCCACAAACCCCAGGTAGGAAGAAAATAATTCAGCACAGGGACATTAATTAGGTTCATGAGGGGAAACAGAGCAGAAAAAACAAATCCAAAGGCATGCAGACCGACTTTTTCTGTCAAATGGTGCGACTGGGAGACAAATATATAAAACAATTTTACACCCGAGCAACAACTGAGAACAGAAAGTTTTTGCCGATACATCAACTTATGTTCATATCCACGTCCTAGTTTATCCCCACATCTTTACTGGAAGAACTGAATTTTACTGCTAAAAAAAAAAAAACAAACAACTGAATTAAAGGCCTACCTGCGCAACAATTTGGAAAATAAAGATTACTTACATAGCAGCAACAATTAAAAACCACTCCTATCTATGTTTCTCTCTGTGATACAGACAAAAGATCCTGACATTATGAAGCTGTAGAGACGGCAGTCCTGAAGGTAAAAAAAATAATCTGGAAATAAGAGAAACGAGACAAACTAATACAAAAAAAAAAAAAAAAGACAGCTGCTGCCGGGCTGTAAAAACAGACAGGATGTCGAGGGGCTGCCCGATTAGGACAGCGGTGAGGGGGAGGGGGGGTTCACTCAGTCGTCTGCGGGCGTAGGGCTTCGGTTTGGACTTGCTGAGCGGGAGCGACTGAAACAGAAATGGAAAGGAATCAGATGGCAACAGGAGAAGATGGAGCACTACACACCTATGGATTTTCTGCATTGTTTTCATCTTTGGAAAATTAACTGTAATACAAAGGCCAAATAAGTATATATTATTGACACTAATAAATCGTCTTATTCTAACAGGTCTTACAGGACAAAGCTGTGGCAGCATGTGTGAATAACACCCTCCTCTCATTACACCTGTTAACATCATCTGTGCCTGTCTGTGTCGCACACGTTCACCCATCCAGTCACTCCCACATTCAGTCGCACTCTCAGCATGCTTGTTTAAGGCTCAACTCTAGCAAGCCTGAACATTTCTGTCACCATGAACATGAGCTTGTCAGGGGGGTTGATTTTTGGTTACCTTTGGAGACAGCGGCAGAAACAACAAGTACAGAGAAGCGAAGGATCAAAGGACTGAAGGACGGAGGACTACAACTCGGAGAGACACTGGAGGCTCTTGAAGACTGATCTCTCGTCAGCTCTTTCTCTCACTTTCAGAAGCTAAGACAGAGGCGAAGAACTCTGGTAGGTAGGGGGGGTCTGGTTGGTAGTAGGTAATGGATTTTTAAGGCCGAACTCTGATCTGTGCGGGTCAGCCCTCTGGTAGATCTGAAGGCTGGCTGGGTGAGTCTAGTAGAACAACTGTATGTGTGTGCGGGCTGATCTCGTCTGAGCGTGTGCGTCGGTTGAACAGACAGTCATCCGTTCACTGAGGGGGAGGGTTCGGTCGGTAGGTCGACCTCTTTCTCGCTGTCTAACATCAGATGCAGGCGAAGGCTGATCTCAGGTCAGCGCTTAGTCAACCTCCCGCAGGACGTGCACACCGCCAGCTGGCAGACCCTGGGCCTGGGATCAGCGGCGGTGTCTGTGCAGTGCTCAGCTCCCACCACACGCTTTAAAGAAAATATGAAAAATAAACAAAACTTCTGCAAAGATGTTTACCGCAAGTCACACCCCTGGTGCTGATTTAGCTGATCTTATCTAGAAAAGTTCTGGAGAATTCTACTGAGCTAGCCCAATTCAGAACAGGGAACTTTAATTTTACTGACATGAATATCCTGTCTGAACATTTCAAATCTTTCTTACTTTCTTAGCCTTCAACTGTTATAAAAAAAAATAAAAATAAAAGGTAGGGGGCTCTGTCTGAGGTGGAGGAGCAGGAGAACCTGGGCGGTGGCTGCTGCTCCTTCTGCTGAAAGTAGCTTTCAGGTAAAGGTTAGAGGCTGAGCCCAGATCCTCTTTCCTGGGCTCTCTTTTCAGGATCAAAGCGACCGATTCAGAGCCACATGGATCCGGAAAAGAGAGCACAGGAGGTCCAATCTGTCATCTGCTGGACTTTCCCTATATCAGACAAACAGCTCAGTTCTCCTGCTTTACTCCACCCAGTTCACCACTCCGGCTGCAGACGTCTACTGGTGAAGCCCCGGCGTGTCTTCGGATCCTCCCACTCATCATCATGCTGGTGTCGGCAGGCAGGAGCGTGACCCCTGGCTGGAGGTGGGCCTAGAGGGGGCACCTGACCTGGCTAACATGTCTGACTCTAACCTGAACGGCTAGCTAATGGTGGGGTATCTACCCTTTTTTTCCTGCTGCGATGTTACAAACATGAACTATGACACATTTATCAGACCCCCAACCCCAGTGCAGATAGAGACGATGAGACTTTGAATTTACCTGGCCCTCTTGTGGTTAGCAGATGGTGATCGGGAACGGGACACAGAGCGCCCCCTGGGGGCAGAGCCCGACCGGGACCGAGACCTAGAGTGGCTGAGAGGAATAAAACAAACAGAACAAACATAAATCACATGTTTCAAACCAAACTTATCTAGATCCAGTTACGCTTCTTTACATGAGGGCAGCTGGACCTCCACAACACGCCACCTAGCCTTGACTCAGCGCATCATCTACACCACTGATTCGGTCACCACAGAAATTACACCAAATAACGCTTATTTCTCCTTAGATAGAAAAAATAAAAATAGATGCATCACTTAAAAACAGATAAAACCAACTTTTTTTTTTGTGGTAGCATTACACTCATGTAGGGTTAGATGAGATATACTTCAAATATGATCACAATACAGAGTGAAAATGTGGTGATAAAGATAAAATTGACAGAAAAAAAAGAACATCACTTCTTCACAGTCTTCCTTGGGTGCCGTTTTAAAGTCACAAAAAAATAAATAAATAAAATAAAATTGAATGTAATTTATTGTTTAATTTATGAATTAAAATTCTTACGATTAGAAACTTATCACAATAATAAGATAAATGCCCAACCCCATACCCATGGTCTGTTGATTCAGGAAAAAAAAAAAACATTTCAATTGTGCTCATCTTAAATTAGGCAGCCTGATTTACAAAGTCACTCTGATATTTGAAACGAATAAGCTAATATTAACTGAACTTTATTGATATCACAATGAAGAAATTCACCTCTGCATTTAATCCATCGCGTTGAGGATCAGTGGGCTGCCATTGTGCGGCGCCCCGGGAGCAGTGTGGGACTAAGGGTTTATGCTTACTGACTCAGAGTGGCAGTCTGTGGGAGTGGGGCTTGAACTTAGAACCTCTGGATTCCAAGCGCAAATTGCAAACAGCTAGGCCACCCCTCCCCCACCGTTTCTTCTGTGATGGACCCATAAGCAGTAGTACAACAAAAAGGGCCAAGTAAACGTTAGCACAAGTTTGGATCTGGAACTCATTTGAAGGGAAAATCCCCAGAGTACTTATGCAGAGAAAATAATTAGTCCTACCTGAACCACAGTCATAGATAAAGCCGCAGCAAACACCACCGTTTTAACTGAGAGCCAGGTTTTTATTTCTTTGCATCAAAAAATCAAAAAATTTGCAACAAACAACAACAACAAAAAGAACCACCTAAATAGTAAATTAGTTTGCAATGCAACAATAAAACAAGATTATGAGTCTTATAAAAGTCCTTGTTACTGAGGAAGGATTAATGACTGATAAATAAAACTTAATGATAAAAAAAATATGAAAAGCTGTTATCCCAACAAGCGACGGTGGGCCTTAGTGTCAGTTTCAATCCTGCAGCTAAACCAGGATTTATACAGGAATGAGGAACTTTAATTTAATACTTTTTAATGCTCTCACACTTTTTATTAAAGCATTTTAAATGCCACGATAATCACAGTTAATGAATTTAAATGCCAAGTAAGGCCTTAATTTAAAAAATAATATTTTTAAAGACTTAATGATTTTCAAAAGGCATGGAAAACCCTGTAAACATTCCCCTGATTGGCTGAGGTGGAGCCTGACATGTTACAGACTGACCCGGACCAAAACAGAGTCCAGTCTGCAGCTTCTGATCAGTCGGGCAGAATATTTCAGAGTCTGAGACACGGCATACCTTCTCACCGAAGTCCTGGACTTGGACCGTGCTGGGGACCCAGATCTGATGAGAAACAAACAAAGAATGTTTTACTTAAAACCGTCTGAAAACCTCAAGGTTAAGCGATTTTAGAGGAAGATAACAACCAGCCACCCTGTTTCAGATGGCACCATGCCTGAAGCCCGAGGTTTTATTAAGGAAGCTGCAACTCACCGGCTTCTGCGTCTGGAATACGATGGAGATCTACGGCGGCTCCTGGTGGAAGAAGGGAGAAAAAAGTGAACACCACCAGTCTGAGCGCCATGATTCAGCACCAGAAAACACAATAGTTACGATCGACCAACAATGCAGCAGATGTAAACTTAACTGTGGAAATAAGGGCTTAGTTTCCTAAAACAGAAATATTGGAAACAAGCCTTCACTTGTTAATGGTGTGTCTGTTTCCATGTCAACATACCGACTGTAGCTTCGGCTACGGCTACGGCTGCGGGAGCGAGACTGATAACGTCGGCCACGGGATCTGGACCTGGAGCGGGACCTGGACCGAGAACGAGACCTGGAATACCAGCACCAACGGGTTAACACCCTCCTGCTGAGCTTCACCCGCTGAACAGGAAAGACAGAGCTCACTCACCTGCTGCTGCGCCGGCCCCTCTTGCTGTAGCGGTAGCAGTCGTAGGCGTAGTGGCCCCGGTCCCCACACTGGTAACACCGATCATTGGGGTCAAACTGGCGGCGGCTGGGGCGTCCGCGGCCCTTCCTGGAGAGGCCAGTGGACATCTCCACACGAACACGGGAACCACACAGGATCCTGAACACAAAACGCCACACCGTGTTCAGTCAGTGAAAATACACATTTACTTAAGGATGTTCGGTAGGATATATATACCGTATTTTCACGACCATAAGGCGCACCGTACTAAAAGGCGCAGTCTCAGTTATGTGTCCCATTTCTGTATTTAACACACACATAAGGCGCACCGGACTATAGGGCGCATTTTTTATATACAGGTACATGCCCTCTACTACCTTTAAATAGCTCTACTGCGTATTTTAAAAATACAGCGGGCCCAAAACTGAGTATGACTGTGCTTTATTCATATATTTATTACGAAGTATTAATCAAACCTGCGAGCTGGCCATGAGACAGACACATCGCAGATGACACAGCGCTGTGATTACTCCTAAATTAACTTAAAATCCTGAAAACTGCCGACGGAATTTGTTCGCTTTTATTACCGGTATCCTGGTGCCTGCAGCTAAAATTATTTAGATGAAAAACACCTGGCAGCAGCCGCGGTGAGGCTGCTGTTGAAGGGATTTCTGCTGTCGGTGCACCGCTGGTATGTGGGGGTCTGAGCGCCTCCGACAGAAATAGATAATCTGGATGAACTGACTGCAATTATTAAGTTTTCAGGTGGCCTTTCTCACTTAAAAACATATTAAAACTACTTTATTCCCCCTGATCACAGCAAATATAGCTGCAAGATTTATATTATTTAGATGAAAAAACACCTGCCAGCCGCCGCGGTGAAGAGGAGGAGACCGGCCCAGAGGCTGCTGTTGAATTAAGTTTTCAGGTAGAAAAATAGAGCGGGAGCAAAACTGAGTATGTTTGTGCTTTATTAATGTATTTATTACAAAGTATTAATCAAACCCATCAAAGTCATCATCCTCTGTTTCTGAATTAAACAGCTGCGCTAAATCAGACATGCCAGTTTCCCCTTCTTCGCTGTCAGTCACTTTCCGTGCAGCGCGGCTCCTCAGAAATAATGCCGGCTTTTGCGAAAGCTTGAACAACAGAGCCAGCAGACACTTTAGTCCAAGCATCTACAATCCATCCGCAAACTGTGGCGTAACTTGCCCGGCGCTGCCTTCCACTTATCCTGAAACTGTGGTCTGTCTGTCATCCATCGCTCCCACGCCGCTCGCAGCCTTACTTTGAATGGCCGCTTCACACCGATGTCGAGCGGTTGAAGTTCCTTTGTCAGACCCCCGGGGATAACGGCGAGCACAGCGTTCATTTGATTCACCTTTTTTTCACATCGGCTGTGAGATGGGCACGCAGCGATGGTGATGCGTGGAAAAAAGCACCTGGTCTCCTCACATACACCTGCCTTTCATCATCTTCTCATCCATCCAGCCTTTTTCATTTGCGTTAATATCATGTCATCAGAGCGCTGTGTCTGTCTCGCTGTCAGCTCCCAGATCAGCTTCTCTGATTGGTTGATGCAGCGCGTCCAGCAGCAAAACTTCACTTTTTCCATCTCGAGCAGCAGCAGCGCGTTGGCGGTGCGTCAGATGCTTAAACGCTCCCGAGGCGCTGCACCTGCAGCTCAAAACGCGCTGCGGGACCTTTTGCTGCGCCTATACGCGCGTCAACCATTGACTTTGCATATAAACTCGCTGCTTCTGCTGCACCTGCTGGGCCGGTTCACACCGATGTCGAGCGGTTGAACAGCGAGCACAACCTTAATTTGTTTCCCCATGTTTTTCACATCAGCTGTGAGATGGGCACGCATGGAGTTACATATTAACAGCGATGGTGATGAGTGGAAAAAAAACACCTGGTCTCCTTACATTCAGCCACTCTTTCATCATCTCCTCAATGAGGTGGTCTTAAAAGTCGCAGTTACAACACACATAAGGCGCACCGCACCATAGGGCGCACCGCACATTTTGAGGGAAAAAAAAGACGGTTAAGTGCGCCTTATAGTCGTGAAAATACGGTATATATATATAAATAAAGAGACTTACTTTCCATCCATGCCTTTGACAGCATCCTCTGCATCTCTGGGATCTTCAAACTCCACAAAGGCAAAGCCTGGTGGATTCCTGGCCACCCACACGGTCCTCAGCGGGCCATAATAACCGAATGCTCGCTCCAGCTCGCCCTTAGCAGCGCCATTACCGAGGTCACCGACATACACTTTACAGTCGGCGGCCCGAGACGAGCTCCGAGAGGACGAATGGTAGGACATTTCTCTTTACCTACAGACAGAGAGAAGTGGGAGTTATAAAACCGAGCTTGTTGATACTCAAAAAAAAATAATAAAAATAATAATAATAGTACTTTGCTGTTGAAAAGAAGCAAACTTTAGTTTAGATTTATTTTTTTTTACCATAAATGCTGTAAGACTTGGTTTGACTTTGGCCAACTGTGGCTCTCAGAAGACACATATTCTTTAATATTTTTGCGATTGTCCAAATAATTGTTTTTCATCGTGGGACAGCCAGGGGGGCAATCAGGGGTTAAGGGTCTTGCTCAGAGAGCCAGAGTGGCAGTCTGTGGGAGTGGTGCTCGAACTCAGAACCTCAGGATTCCTAGCTATATGCCCTACTAGGGCACCACTGCCCCAAAAACACCACCTTATACAGTTGCACATATATTCCAAGTATGCCATTCTTTTTAAAACATACTGTACTGTATTCATTATATTTTAGGTTAAAATTGCCTTCACCAAATCTCTTCCTCTTAACCCAATTTTTATCTGCAAGCATCTGCTCTCTTTTATCTCTGTTACTCATAGACCATAGTATATTTCTATTTATAAAATCAACATGACATGGGTAGACTGAAGGACTAATTCACTGTTTCAATTTAAACGGAGTGTTAAAATATCCAATTTAAAACAAAGCAAGAAAAGAAATTAGCTTTAATATATAAACACGGATGAATTACTTTGTTAAAGTTTAAATGAAGTTAAAACGGCAGACCTTACAGAAAGAAAAAAAAAATGAATGGTATGCATATTCATCTGTTCCCTCCAGGAAGCCAGCGGTAGGTAACCACACCATCTCCATGGTAACGGACACTTATCCGCCTCCAAAAGGCAACAAATCCAACAGTTTCGGTGTTTATACAATCCATCTCATTAACAAGTGAAACCTAGTTAAACATCTCGTTCTGGCTCCAGTTTTACCATGATGATTATATCAAAGGTCATCCAATCCAATCATGTTTATTTTAAAAAGGGTAATTTGTGCTATTTTAACACACCTGACAACCTGGTTTCGTTTTTACGATTGAAGCGACCTGAACCATACAGGAAGCCATCTGATCATTAGCTTCCTGTTAGCAGCTGTGTAAAGGTCAATTTCGCCTAAATTACACTACAGAAACATCCATTTAATTATGAAAGACTTGTTATTACTGTTTAGTAAGCAATAATAGTCATTGTAAATCCAGAACAAAGTCCTTTGCGGAGCCGCAGGGTAGCTGTTAGCTTGACTAGAGCCTCCCCCCACTGGAAGGCCGGTTTGCTTTAGGTGTATAAAGCAACATTCATCAAAAACACAGTTGAACCCTACATTCGAAAACCCTTTAATTATAACCCCAAAAGTGAGCCCCGATATTATCTATAAGCGGTTCAATTCAGGAAATAGCCAGGCCCCGCTAATCGCAATGGCGCGCGGCCCACGCGATAGCTTGCCTTACCGTCTTCTGTTGTTGTTTTTATTCTGCCTCCTCCTCCAAAACCTAACTCCGGGAGCCTCTATGAAACTCTATTAGTACCGAAGTGTGAAAAAAAAGCACAATTTTAAAGAATTAACAGTTCTAATCGCCGTCAATACGGTCTTTAATCTAGTCCCTGCATATCTTTCCGCAACGACTTCACCTCCACGGCTTTTGGTAGTGGCTGCCGATTCTAACGTTTCTTCTTCATTTGTGGATTAAGGCGGTGGTAGATTGTTCCAACATCCATTAGCGCCTCCACCTGATTGAAGGATATTACTGCAGTTTCTTCTAGAATAATTTACGTAAAATAGCCTACCTTACTGTAAAATCCTACCCTCTTTCCAATCGGTCTCCGTCAGTCACGTGACATTTCTTCTTCTTCTTCTTCTTCTTATGGGGTTTTATGGCGGTTGGCAGGCTTGTGAATTGTGCATTACCGCCACCAACTGATATGGAGTAAAGCAAGAAAACAGAAAACGATTCACCCAAAAAAAAAAAAAAAAAAAAAAAAAAAAAAAAAAAAAAAAAAAAAAAAACCTGTGTAACTTAAACCAACATAATACTAAATCACATTTGCCCATATAATTTTAATTTACTCTAGGTCATCTTAACTCTGCCAGTTTCTGATGGTCCCATCGGTCCTCCCATCATACTTCCAACCATCTCCCAGTTCAAATCTTTAATGTCCAGGTATTTTTCTGCAGCCTTCACTATTATTTTGATTTTTTCCGTTTTTTTTGTTGTCTGTGCAGTACAATTAATTACTTCTACCATGAAAAGAACAAAATTTGTCTTTTTAACAATAAGTGAGTCTTCATCAATTTTTTGATTCTCTAGAGGTTTGGAATTTGCCGTGTGTTGAACTGTAGGTTTGGGTTTTTCTGACTGAGATGGGATCCTTTTTGCAGCTTCAGCGTAGGTTATTCCGAGCTCAAATTTCATTTTTTTAATTTCCTCAGACCTTTTGCTTGCTTCACAGCCGCGATAGGCAGCAGTATGTTCTCCACCACAATTACAGCATTTTATTATAGCTTCTTTTCCACATTTTCCGTACTCATGTTCTCCTGCACACCTTCCACACCTCTGTTTCCCTTTACAAACTGCTGCAATGTGACCGAATTTTTGGCATTTGAAACATCTCAATGGTGGAGGATTGTAGATTTTGACATTATAGCTTATGTAACCGATGAATACTTTGCTTGGTAATTGCTCTTCCTCAAATTAAATTAGCACTGATAAACTGTCAGATCTTTCTCCGTTTCTTGTTGTTTTTAACCGTTTTACTTCTTTTACTTTTGCACCGCTTATGTTTTCCAGAATCTCTTTTTCAGAAATTTTTAGAGGAACTCCTCCAATGACTCCCCTGCTGATCTTTTTGTTCTCCATTAGGCTGCACTGAACTCTTATCCCGTCAATTTTGTTGATCCGTATTGCTTTGCCTTGCTGGGCGCTGTCTCTGCAGTTAATTAGCAGGTCTCCACTGTACAGAATTCTGGCACCTCTGACTTCTCCGACAAGTTTATTGATGGTTTTTGTTAAGTGAACCGGATTCCAATTTGTAAAAGAGTCTGCCTGATTAACGACTTTGAATATGACTTTGAATTCATTTTGTTGTGCTGTGGAATGTATGGAATGATCATCACTGGATTGTTCTGAACTAGATTCCCCTTGAACTGATCTCTGTTTTTTCCGCTTTTTCTCATTTTTTGATGTTGCTATCTTCCAACCTTCATTGTCACTATTTCCCTCTTCCATCCCACAAGAATCGCTTCCTGTTTCCTCACTACTCACGGCCCAAGACATTTCTCCATAAGCAGCTTCAAAACACGCGCCATGCACCAAACGACCATCCACATGCAATCCTCCTCTCTCTCCACGTGACATTTCTTCTTCTTCTTCTTCTTCTTATGAGATTTTATGGCGGTTGGCAAACTTGTGAAATGTGCATTACCGCCACCAACTGATATGGAGTAAAGCAAGGAAACAGGAAACGATTCACCCCCCCCAAAAAAAAAAAAAAAAAAAAATACAATAAAATAACCTGTGTAACTTAAACCCACATAATACTAAATTATACTAAATTACATTTGCCCGTATAATTTTAATTTACTCTAGGTCATCGTACCTCTGCCAGTTTCTGATGGTCCCATTGGTCTTTCCATCATGCTTCCAACCATCTCCCAGTTCATATCTTTAACATCCAGATATTTTTCTGCAGCCTTCACTATTATTTTGATTTTTTCTGTTTTTTTTGTCGTCTGAGCAGTACAATTAATCACTTCCACCATGAAAAGAACAAAATTTGTCTTTTTAACAATTAGTGAGTCTTCATCAATTTTTGGAGATTTCTCTAGAGGTTTGAAATTTGCCGTGTGTTGAACTGTAGGTTTGGGTTTTTCTGACTGAGATGGGATCCTTTTTGCAGCTTCAGCATAAGTTATTCCAAGCTCAAATTTCATTTTTTTTATTTCTTCAGACCTTTTGCTTGCTTCACAGCCGCGATAAGCAGCAGTATGTTCTCCACCACAATTACAGCATTTTATTTTAGCTTCTTTTCCACATTTACCATATTCATGTTCTCCTGCACACCTTCCACACCTCTGTTTCCCTTTACAAACTGCTGCAATGTGTCCGAATTTTTGACATTTGAAACATCTCAATGGTGGTGGATTGTAGATTTTGACATTGTAACTGATGTAACCGATGAATACTTTGCTTGGTAATTGCTCTTCCTCGAATTTAATTAGTACAGATAAACTGTCAGATCTTTCTCCGTTTCTTGTTGTTTTTAACCGTTTTACTTCTTTTACTTTTGCACCGCTTATGTTTTCCAGAATCTCTTTTTCAGAAATTTTCAGAGGAACTCCTCCAATGACTCCCCTGCTGATCTTTTTGTTCTCCATTAGGCTGCACTGAACTCTTATCCCGTCAATTTTGTTAATACGTATTGCTTTGCCTTGCTGGGCGCTGTCTCTGCAGTTAATTAGCAGGTCTCCACTGTACAGAATTCTGGCACCTCTGACTTCTCCAACAAGTTTATTGATGGTTTTTGTTAAGTGAACCGGATTCCAGTTTGTAAAAGAGTCTGCCTGATTAACGACTTTGAATATGACTTTGAATTCATTTTGTTGTGCTGTGGAATGTATGGATTGATCATCACTGGATTGTTCTGAACTAGATTCCCCTTTAACTGATCTCTGTTTTTTCCGCTTTTTCTCATTTTTTGATGCTGCTATCTTCCAACCTTCATTGTCACTATTTCCCTCTTCCATCCCACAAGAATCGCTTCCTGTTTCCTCACTACTCACGGCCCAGGACATTTCTCCACAAGCAGAGCAGCTTCAAAACACGCGCCATGCACCAAACGACCAACGTTCCTCCCACGTGACATTTGTTGCTAAGACGCCATTTTGAGTGGAGAAGGCGTAGTGTAAACAGCCGCAGCACAGCCAAACAAAAGGACTAAAGGATTGAGTTTTTTTCGCCGACTACATGGAAAAAAGTAAGCAGAATGCGAAACTAGCGTACCGGGAAAAACTTAACATCGAGGCCAGGGACCGTTACTTGGCCAAACTGTCGGATATTAACGGCATAGATCCCTATGATCTCCGGAGCAAAGACTGGAGCTCCGACGTCTCTTCACTGCCTCCGACCTCATCAGTGGACATAACCACTTACCTAGTGTTTGGCGTCAGTGCCTACACGTGCGAGGAATTCAAGGCATATAAATCACTGGAAGCACACGGACAGTTCACAAATGGCTGGGTTCAGGATCTGTTTTCCTACCGACCACAGATGTGCAACAACACAGTTGTTACTGCAAAGGTAAGCTCCCTCAGCGCTTCTCAAGCAAGCTCCTAAATGATGTTCAGTAATCAAAATATTTTTTTTTTTATGCCCACGTTTACATAGCAGCCTGTCCAAGATAAGTCTGTACAGTTAACATAAGCCTGAAAACAGGGGCGGATTTAGAAAAATGGGGGCCCTAGGCAAAGACAGGCAGGGGGCCCTATGAATGTGGTCGCCAAAGTCTCCAGTAGCAGAAAAATTTTGCAAGATTTGGCGCTAGGCCCTTTTTTGATATTAAAGTGCTAGAAGAGCCTGTAAAGTCGCTCAAGTACAAAACCGCTCATTGTATCATTTTTTTTCAAATGGTTTGCTGCTGTCCTTTTAGCGAAAGCATTTATATCAAAAACATAATTAAAGTGCACAAGTCAGGAATAGCTGTATTAAACATACATGTTATGGGGGCCCCAGGAACTTGGGGCCCTAGGCACCTGCCTAGTATTGCCTAATGCTAAATCCCCCCCTGCCTGAACATATGTAAGACTCCCATCCCACTAAAACGTTTGTATCTGTGTTATGTTCCTTGTAGGTCATGCACTCCCAAAGACTAAACGACACACCACTGAAACCCTGGGCCATCATTGACCGATCAGGAGCCATATCATCTGCTCACTGTACATGTATGGCTGGGATAGCAGAGACCTGTACGCATGTAGCTGCCATGCTGTTCAAGTTGGAGGCCACTATCAGATGCAGGGAGAAAACAACTGTTACAGGAGAGCCTGCATACTGGATGATACCGAACAACATAAACAAAGTGGGAGCGGAGGTGGGACACAAGATCAATTTTACATCATCAAAAGCTAAACGGAAAAGCCTAGACCAACTCTTGGATGGTCAGGCCGAACACATGCCAGCGCTCAGAACTGTCACAAGCACCTGCACAGGCAACACCAGCACACAGGACCAGTGGAGCGCATATCTTTGTGAACTGCAGAAAGCCTCACCTAAAGCTGCTGTTTTGTCTTGTGTACCAGGATTTTGTGATTCATTTGCAGACACATTACAGCCATGTCCTGCACCAGATTCATTGTCCCGACTGTGTGATAAAAAATGGATTGCAGTGATTTGTCTGTCTGCGTTACGGTTGCACTGCAAAACTTTGTTAAAAAAGGCAGACATTTCACAGGACCAGGCCCACTACATAGAATTGCATAGTAGATCACAGCACAGATCCTCAACATGGTATCGGTTTCGCACAGGAAGGGTAACAGCATCAACCATGCACGCAGTCTTTCGGTCAGATTTGGACAACCCTGCAGTTTCAACCGTCAAAGCAGTATGTGGCACAAACAGCGGTGCAACCAATCATTGTGCTGCCACTGTATGGGGGAGACAAAATGAACAGAGAGGGCAAACACAGTACAAACAGAAAATGGAAAACCAACACTGTGACTTTGAGCTAAGCCAGTCTGGGTTCATTATCAACCCCAAGTTTCCCCAGGTTGGAGCATCACCTGATGCAATTGTACTGTGCACCTGCTGCGGAAAAGGCTGTGTCGAGATAAAGTGCCCATTCAAGTACCGAGACAATACCATTCTGGAGGCATGCAGGAGTGGTGATAAAAATTTCTGTTTGGAAATGGTGGATGGTAAAGCTGCAGCTTAAGAAGGAGCATCCATACTACAAACAAGTGCAGACCCAAATTTTTGTTGCTAATGCAGCATATTGTGACTTTGTAGTGTGGACCCTGAAAGACATTGTCGTGTTACGTGTGGCACCTGACCCCAAGCTGTGGAATGCACTCCTTGAAAAGGCACAGCAGTTCTTTGAGCGTGTGTGTCTCCCTGAACTGGTCAGCCACTTCTTCACACGTGATGCACAACGAGCACCGCTGACAGACAGCTCTGATCCTGTAAGGAAAAGACCTTGCAAGGCTGCAAAACCTCTGGCTGAAAAAGCAAACAACATTGTAGCAGCTGACAAGCTATGGTGTTTGTGCCATGGACCGGAGGCCAAAGATGACATGGTGGCCTGTGACAATGAAAACTGCCCCATCGTTTGGTTTCATTTGAGTTGTGTTGGCCTACACCTCAAAGATGCTCAGTCTGATTTTTGGCTTTGCCCTCAGTGCTCGAATTCAAAAACTTAAACTGTCTTTGTTAATTTAAATGTGTTTTGCAGTGATGTTTGTGTGTTTACATATGTTACCAGTATGTTAAGCTATTGCTTGTGTTTACTTTTGCACTGATCACTTGACACTGGAAGTGCTCAAATTTAAAAACTTAAACTGTTTTTTTTTTTTAGTGTGTTTTACAGTGATTTTTTTGTGTTTACATATGTTACCAGTATGTTAAGCTATTGCTTGTGTTTACTTTTGCACTGATCCCTTGACACTGGAAGTGCTCAAATTTAAAAACTTAAACTGTTTTTTTTTTTTTTTGCAGTGTTGTTTGTGTTCACCAGACAAATGTAGCTGAGCACCTTATACTACTACCTCTTCACTTTACATATGTTACCAGTATGTTAAGCTATTCCTTGTGTTTACCTTTTGCACTGATCACTTGACAGTTAAATGCACACATAAAAACAGTTCAACTTAATATTTTTCTCAATGACCCATGTTCTTTATGCTACCAAAAAAAAAAGGAATATTTACAGTTTTAGAAGGTTTTAGAAGACTTTTATTATTCTAAAAAGAATGTTTACAAGTTTTCAGTGTTTGACAATTTTTTATGATGCTACAAAAGAATGTTTACAGGTTGATATTTGCAGGTTGTGGGGATATTTCTATTATGCTAATGTTTACAAGTTTTGTTGAAAAAAGTTTATTGTGCTAAAAAAGAAAGTTTACAGTGTGTACAAGCCTTCCTTATGCACAAGTAAAAAAATCAAAATGCATTTACATCTTGGGTGATTTCTGTATCTACACCACAGTTGGACAATGATTTGTCAGGGCACAGCACACAGTGACGACCTTATCCAAGAATGTGACCTCTTCTCCAGCACAGGGTAAAACCATTGAAATAGGAATAGTTCCATTTAAGATTTTGTACTTTTGACATACATTTCCAATCACCCGTTCAACATGGATTCTCAAATGTGCTATTTTCCTAGTTTCCTCCACATCTCTAGCTGCTAACTGACAGTGGCCTTTGGTGAATGCTGGGAGTTTAACTTCAGCACACAGCATGCCCACACACTCCTGTATGTCAAAACCTCTGTCAGCCAAGACCAGGTCCCCAGGCAACAAATTGTCAAGGAAGCCACTGTTCAGCGTGATGTGTTTGTCGCTTGTACGACCTCCCCAGCCTTTGGACAAAAAACAAATGGCTCCTTTGGGTGTCACACCTATTAAATATTTCATGGTGTGATTGTGCTTGTAGCTGGAGAACATTTGGGCACGCGCTTTTAGGTTTGATGGTTTTTCTGTAAATATCTCAAAGCAGTCAATAATCACTGCTACTCTGTTTCCAAAGGCCTCCCTGAACTGATGTGGCATTACTTTGCGGAGAGTGTCTCTGTCTGGCCATATAATAGCACGCCTCAAATTTGCATAAAGACATGAAACCATATCATGAAATGTTCTTTGTGCAGTCCTAGGAGAAATATGAAACAGATAAGCAAGGTGCTGCAGAGGCAAATCCAATCTTAAGTGCATGAGTGTGAATAGGAGCATCTGAAAAGGAGTAAGACATTTCTTTTGATATGACATGAGTGGCAATAAAAAATTAAAGGGCGCCAGGAAGGTTGCAAGGTTTGGCAGACCAGTGTAATACTTTACTTTTTCATCATCAGCTCCAAAGAAACTATCGGATATCATGTTCTCATTAAGTTTGCGTCGCAGTTCTATATTCTCTTCTGTCAGGCGGTTGACCTCTGCACGCCTGAGCACACACAGGTCACATTCAGGCTGAGTCACAGTTTCAGTGGGGTTCTGCACCTCCTTGTTTGTGATCAGCTGAGGGTTTTCTTCTCCAATCTCCTGCTGAGGGTGTTCTTGGTTTTCTTCTCCATCCTCTCTGATCTCCTGCTGAGGGTTTTTTTCTCCATCCTTTCCAACCTCCAGCTGACCATTTCCTTCTTCAGCATCACATGTCTCCTCGGTCTGTAGCCCGTCAGTGTTTACATCCTGGTGTATGCCTGTCTCTGCTGACTGAAGGGTCTGTTTCCGTGTCTGCTCCCGTGCCCTTCGTCTGGCAGAGCGACCAGGGTCTGTTGGTTTGATAAACGTGTGTCCAAGATGTAAGGATGGGGCCCAGTCTGGGTCACTCTCCATCATCTCATAAGCTGGCTCACCTGAAACCACATGTTAGGTTTGATTTAGAAAGCAAGTTCATACTGGATAAGGCTATGTCTTATATCAAATTAATTAATTAATTTAATATGGGTGTTTAAATTTGTTTTTGAAATAATAAAAAATAATAAGTTAGAATAATGGTGATTATGAATAATAATAAAACACAAATAATGCATTTTCTGACGTTTTTTAAGTAATATTAAAAGTTTATGTTACCTTTATGAAAGTGCCGAGAACAAACACACATGTGGGGGAATGTTTTGTTGAAAATGAGATCCTTTCTCCTCACTGCTGAAAGCCAGGCCATGCGACGTCTCTTTGTTATTTCCTCCAATTGAGGTCCGTGTGATCGTTTCCAGGTTGGAAAACGGAAAAAACGGATTCCTTCGTCCCCCGATCTGCCATGCCGGGACTGGCAGCCTCTCACACAACACGATCGGGCCATTTCAGGTTAATAATTGTGCCGAAAGAACAGCCGCGTGTGGGTTAACTCGACTTTCCGCCTAATATGGTGGTTTTCCCACGATGCACCGCGCCCGAGGTAAACAATGACGTCACCTGGCGGAGACCGATATCATAATTTATTTAAAAAATAGTTTTATCTGAGTACTTCACAAATTAAAGTAATATATACTTCCTATTCATAATTTATGCATGGGAAATTGTACAAACATTCAGAAACAAACTCACTCACCTTTAAGGAGTCATTTAGAGCAGAGTTTCCCAAATTTTTGAGCCCAAACTGTTGCTTGAGTATAAAACATTTCTGGAAAAATCAATTAACCACATGTGTTTTCCTATTAGAAACTAGTGTTGCACCGATGCCATTTTTTGGCCCCGATACCCATATCTGGCTGTGCCGTATTGGCCGATACAGATACCATAACATATGATACCATCTGTTTGAAATTGATGTGTGTGTGTATATATGAAGAACTGCATACTACTTGGTTGTAAAATAATAACCATCATGGCTTTGTCAAGCTGCTGCCTACCTTTGTTAAACAGGAAAAAGACTAATACAAAGTGAATCCAGTAGAACTTTTAATGCCTACCTGGAATGGGTGACAATAGTAGAATAAACTTAGGCTCTCAAAATGGTATCAGTGCCCTATTTGTTGTTACTCGCCGATACCGATACCACCATTTTAGTGCTGGATCGGGCCCTGCCCGATACTGGTATCGGTGCAACAGTAAGTATGAGGGCGAACCATGAGAATGAGAAGAAAAGTGCTGAAGTTCTGAGTTTTGGCCACAGGGGGCAGTTTCGTAATGCATGTTTTCAAAAAGCTCACTTTCTTAAATATTTTCCCTACAGTGAACATGTACAACACAAAAAACCCCTGATACTAATGGGGCTGAAATTCAAGAGAAATTAATTTTTCCCGGTTAATAAATGATTTGCCTAATTTTTCTGATTTTGTTTTAAAGTATAATTATGTTTTATGTCCATTTTAGTGCTGGATCGGGATCCCATCCGATATTGGTAGCGGTATTGGTACAACACTTTAAGAAGCCACATCAATAACCAAAGCAGCTGGCTTGGTCAATTTCGATATTATGCTTATACATCCTTGAGCAATTTAACATAAATATTGGGAATCAGTGATTTAAAGTGACTAATAGTCCCAACAGTCACATTTTTAGGCTGTAGGAAGAGGCCAAAAAAGCCACAGAGAACCTAGGCATGCATGAGGGAAATATTTAGAAATATCGGTCCAAGTAACGTCCTGCAGAGTTGATATCCTACAGCTTTTGTTTTAACACAGGTAGGTGTCTGACATAAGCAAAGGAAAGGCAGGGGTGCTCAAACTGAGGGTTGAAACTATTAGGTAGGCGGTCCTGAAGTGATGCCTGAGGTTTATGAAAAAGAAAGTCACATGATATTAATAAAAGTTACCATGAAATATGTAGATATTATATTACAGATGAGACATTTTATTTATATTTATCCAAATATAACAGAAAATTTCATTAATTAATTAGATATCCCACTAAATGATTCGAAAAATAACTTAAAATGATAAAGGTAATAAAAAAAATGTATTCCCAGACAAATATAAATACTCTGCTATACATCGATGCAAATATAGAGTAAAATAAATATATACGTATTTTTAGGGAGACACCAGTCTGTAGCACTCTGAAATGTTTGGGAACCTCCACATTGAAGGGGCATTGAACATTCTTTTTCTTTTCCATCCATGCCTCTACAATTGCCCAACATTTAAAATGAGTTTTTCTCTATTTATAGTTGTCTCTATAAGCTCCATATGTCTGTTCTTGCGAGGGTGATTCTCTGCAACACTGCTGAAGATGGATCCCAAAGGGCCAGCCATGGTTAGCCTCAACCACAGGAGTACAAAAATAAAACTGTCTAGGTAACCTAATGATCATCATGGTGTAGGGAAAAAAACCTTGAAGATAAGAAAAAACTTTAGACGGTGTGCAATATGTTGCATTTGATGCAATAGTAGGACAGCATTTCAGGAGAAGGACATACTGAAAATCAAACATGGTGGTGGTAGTGTGATGGTCTGGGATGGTGTTGCTGCTTAGCACCTGTTCAGACCATGAATTCTGGTCTTAACCCTAAAAAAAAAAGAAAAAAAGAAAACGTGAATCTTCTCAGAGCATCAATTACACTTTTATACAGCAAAACTGACCTGAAAAGCTACAAAATAACTATTAGGTTTTGAAACAACCAAGTCAAAGTCTGAACTTAAGTTTAGCTACATAACCTGACTGATCACTGACCTCAGTGATGTTGGACTTAGTGTCAGTGGTAGCAAACATTTGATACATTTTCCTAAGTTATACGCTGGTGAAGATTCTTAGTCATCCAGGTCATAGTCATTCTAAAAAAAAGAAAATTAAAAACAGTCCACTGGACTTTGTTTTCAAGTTTGAAGATGTTTCGCTTCCCATCCAAGAAGCTTGGTCTAGCTAGCCCTTCCCGCTATCATCGCAGCCCCTCTGTATAGTAGAGCAGGCCAACAATTCCCTTTAACGACTGACCTTTCAGACACTTAGACAGCTACGGGGCATTGCAGGCTAACAAAAGAGGCCAAACGACCCCCATTCCAAAGAGGTGGACCCCTATTCCTGACATTTTGATATGAAAAAGCTTCCCGGATGGGAAGCGAAATGTCCAGTGGATTGTTTTTAATGTACTTTTTCGGAATTTCTTAGGTGATCTTTGTTATATTCAAGTTTCACACCAAAAATACAGCAACTCTTTAAGAGAATAAATTATTTTCAGGGGGATTTAAAAAGTCATAGGAAGATATTCCTGGTCATGTGATACTTCTTAACGTCCTTTTTCTGGAGCTTTTCAGGATCGAAGGTCAAGCTAACATCCAATAATAAATGGTGAATTGTAGAGATGCACCGATCCAGTTTGTTCCGATCCAATTCGATAACTGGGTGGAGCGTATCGGCAGACATCCGATCTGATTCACCTTTTGAATGGATGAACCATATATCATGAAGGCTTTAACCTTGACATAAATCAACACAGATATTAATGTAAATTACATTTGTTAATAAGGCATAAGAAGCAAAAAGAAAGAAACAACAGCTCCATGCAAAGTGCAGTGGATTGAATTCCCGATACCAAATCAGCGATATCCGATCCAGGTATCGCATCGATGCATCTCTAGTGAATCAGAATGAGTGTGATTAATGGCTTTTATTGCCGTTTGCCCTCAATCCGGATGATCAGGACCTAAAATCCTTTTTATAATTCAGAAATGCAACATTATTTAGGCAGAATAAGCGGAACCACCTGGTTTGGCAGCGAAGTTACCATTTTTTCTGGTTTTAGGAACACAAGGTTCTGCAGTCCTTCTGCATTGACGCCACAAATAACGACTCAGACTCGTTACACATTGAAAATAAATAAACTATATTTAACTAAGGTCAACTTCACTTGATTAAAGACCTTCATTTTCTTTCGGTAACACATTACATCTCATGCCATGTTTTCAAAAACAAGTTATCTTTTTTTTTTTTTCAGATTTCTTTTCTTTTGCATTTCATACAAAAAAGTCAGTTAATTTATTAGAATGCTAAATAAATGTATAAGTCTATCACATGATATTATAATAGATCATTCATAGTTTCCCTACAAAGATTCAGGCAGAGACATTTTTTTTTTTAATCATCACATAAAACAAGTTCACAGAGAGACAGGTTGGAGAGCAAGACCTGGGCAGGAGCAATGGGGGAGGAGGAAGGCGAACACCAACACAGACGTGGATTTATCATACAACTAAAGAAACCTGACACAATGGAGGAGGCCTTCTGTTAGGAAAAGGCAGTTAAAAGAGGAAACAGTAGACAGATGCGTCTCTGGATGCAGCTGTGGTTTCACGGACAGAGTTTGAAAATGTAGGAGTCTTCTGGCGTCCATCACAGTAGACCATGCTGCTAACACACCAACAAACAAACACACAGCTTCTTCATGCATGTGCAGAAGAACACAGAGGGGAGGCAAACACAGAACACACCGGGGAGGGGGGGCAGCTGTGAGGGTTGGATCACATCTACCTAAGGAACAGCAAAGGCCGAAGCCGACAGTAAGGAAGTTCACGGAAACACGGAACATTGGCGGGACGTCCCGAGCAGATCTGTCCCATTCGGAGCTGGGAGCCCCAGGCTGGAGGGGTTCCAGCTGAGGCTGAGCGTTTCTCCTCCATCCATCAGAAGATCAGCTCGCCCCTGTTTGATGTGCCAAGATTTGATTCGAACCGAGCCGGAGACCAACTGTCTCACCGGCAATGTTCCACACTGTTTCATCATGTAAACATGCTACTTTCACTTAAAAACCCTCCGACACGAGGACTGGATGAAGAAATGCACGGAGGGTTACAGTAAACACTGCAGCAGGAGAAGGTGAGAACTATTGCACATAAAAGACCACACTCCTTGGGCCAAACTGTAGACGGTTCACCTCAAGGACTTGTGGCGCAGCTTATCTCTAAGAAAATCAATAATCTGATCACAATGATTCCACATCAACAGAAACCAGTCGATGGAAGACTGAACCAGCCAATGTATTAACCCTTCAGTTCATATATGAACACTTAATGAAAGCTTAAAGCTTACATAGTGTCCTGTTTTCTCTACATCTGTTCCTATTTATTTCCATTATATATTACATTTTAGACATTTCTTTCAGATTTAATGAAGTTCCTTTATATGTTGAAAAGTATTTTCCCTTTTATGTCTCCTTTATTTTTAATTTTTCTCAGGATGGAGCTGAATTTTAAAAAGAAATGCAAAACGGAGACGGAAATCGACATATTTGGGATATTAAAATTCCCAATTTACTCAGTTGTTCTGTACACTTTTAAATCCACCTTATTTTCACTGATCAGGGGACTAGTTTAGACTAGTTTAAGTCCTAACATATTATTAAAATACTGACAATATTCCACCCAGTTACAGACTAATCATAATCAGTTTTCTACATGAATATAGCAGTTATTATTGCCTATGCTGATGACACCCAACTATACACTGGAAAATTATGTTTTTTTTTTCTTAAAATAAGTGCATTTGTTCTTGGATTGAGGAGGTAAAAGAAACATTTTGCCAATTTACACTTAAACTAAGAAAACACAATTGCATTGTCTTATTTCAAGTGTATGTTATCTACTTATTTTAAGAGTAAAAATACTCATACCATTGGCAAACTATCTCATTTACCTACTCAAATTAAGGGTAAATACATTTAATTTAAGGAATTTTTAGTTATTTCTGGATCGTTTTTCCAGTGTATTTAATGTAAGCAGTAACTATTGTTAATTAAACCTTGATTCATGCAGATCTTAATGAGACACACATTTTCATTCCAAGGAAAGATCGACTTCTAACGTTACAAGTTTGTTCAGCAGAGGCTTAAAATAAAATCAGCAAAACTGAGCTTTTAGTTTTACTCAAACAGAATTCAAGATTCTCTATCAAAATTATCTCATAATGGTTTCTAAGCTTCAGCAGAATATTAGGATTCCACTAGTTTTTCCCCTCCAAGTTTATCAGAGATTCAGATAGTTACTGACAGTTTTTAAGAGAAGATATATTCCTTTACTGTCCTTCCTTTAATGACTCGTTGAATTAAAATGTCTATCTTTCATTTACTGGGAAAGTAAGGTCACAAAGTTTTACTAAATGTTTTTACTCTTTTATAAAATGTATTTGAGACCAAATAAAGGTTAAACATAGTAAATCCAGCCAATAATAAACAGCTAAAATAATTTAGATTGATTCTAGACAAACCAAACTCGGACAAATCAAGATCATTCTGGATAAGCCGAACCCATTACATGCTGATACCATCCAAACCACACCTTTTCCAGGCTAGTTTTAACAAATAACCCTCTTTCCTGTCTGTTTCAAGACAAACTAAGCTGATTCCACACTGGTACCATCCGATCCACAGCTTTTCATTCTTTCTAGATGTATCAGACCGTTTAAACTTACCCAAGAACACAAACAGAAAATCTTCACCTCTTCCAAGCTAGTTCCACCAAAATTCAATGTTATTCAAACACCCTTCATTAGTCCTAAAGGGGAATTAAATAATACAGTAACTCCTGGGTTTTTTTCTTTAACCAGGTGTTTATAGCTGTAGGCAGGAAGGATTTTCTGTATCCCGCCATCCAAATTTAAACTCTTTCCATGTTGTTTCGAGACCATCTTGACGTCTTCCAGACTGGGATTAGACACACTGCACCTTTTCCAAGCTAGTTCCACCAAATCACTCCATTTGCAGACTGTTAACCAGAATAAATTAACCCATTCCTGTCTGGGACCAGACAAAACACACTTGTTCTAGGATGTTTCCCTCAAACCCTTTTCCAAATGTTTTAAAGACTAACTAATCTCATTCCAAAGTGGTACCAGGCAAGGGTATCTTTTCCAGACATGCTCCAGCCTTTTGCAGCCTAATTTAAACCAAGTCACAACATGCAGACTATATTTAAGATTGAAACTGGATAAGAAAAAGGCTTTATACAGAAAATCTAGTTTTAAACCTCAGGACCCATTACCATGAATGTTTGGATGTTTCCCTACAGCCATCTGAGCTAAAGGCAGGTCAACAGGCTCTGAGGAGCAGAGTTGACAACAACTAATATCCTACAGATTATTCCAAATTTGTTCCAAAGCATTTTTTAGACCGACCAAAGTGATTCCAAACTGATTAAATTTAAACAGTCTTCAGAGAAACTAAAATAATCCCAGGTTTGTTTCAGAACAGCTTCCTCATTTCAGACAAAACAAACAATGACCACTTAAGAGTGATTTTAAATGAACTGTTTCAGACTCTTCTAGCCAAATATAACTCTATCCAAACTTATTCAAACCCATTTCCATATGAAACAATCTCTCTCCAGAGAAACCAAATCATATTAAATTTCCTTTGATAACTTATTCTAAATTTATTCCAGTCAAACTTTGATTACTCTGTTCATCACATTATTATTATTATTTTTTTGTTGCTTTCATTTTGTACAGGATTAAAACTTTAATACAGTCGATTTACCATTGATAATTTAAGGGAATTTAATAGGAAAACTCTAAGAAATATAAAGATAACGAAAATATAGTAAAGTTGTTCAACTATATCTTTAACATTTTGTGTTAATAAATTCATGTATTCATTTATTTTTTACTTGATTTTGGCAGTTTCAGACTTCCATACCGGGTAAATGAGATGTGGGAATGTTTGGATAATTTTCACGGTTGAGAGTGTGAAGAATATATTAAAATCTAATTGACTAATTAATGAAATAAGGTGTCTGTTTGTTTTATATACAGAAGCTAATCTGAATGTTATAATAATATAGAAAAAATCTACCTTGGCTTCACCTGCAAGGAAAAGATACAAAATCTGTTTTAGAAAGTTTACAAAGTGTTGTTATTTTGGGTTAACTATGCTATAATAACACTAATGACTTAGCAATTAAGGTGAAGTTTGATAATGCAAGAAACACCAAAAATTAATCCAAAAGTACATCAATTTAAGCTGTTAATCGAAGCAAGTTCATAATTTCATTATTAACGTCTGCAGATGCCTCACATGGTTCACTATTTATAAATATTTCTCACACATTAACTTCTCATCTTCCTCAATCTGAAAGACAAAACCCTCAAATGACAGTGTTGAAATGTCACCATTAATTTGAGGAGTTTTTTTTTCTTAGACACCTCCGGGGTTTCGTACCTCCTAGTTTATATTTCTGGTTATTTTCTACAGTCTGTTTAGCAGCCGGTAGTTTCAGTAGCTTCACTCTGACTTGTTTAGAGTCTGCATTAAAATACTGAGCAACACACGCGCGCCCTGCAGGGCGGCATCCTCCACTTCCCTCTGAGGTCAGCACTCAGTATGCAGTAGTTCAAGACTCTACAAACATCACTGAGTGAAATCACCAAGGACTTCCTGTTTCAGATGAGAGACGAAGGTCCCGATCGCTGCTCTGAACACTGACGCTCTCTGCTGCTGACAGGAAACTATATGACACATTTTCTTTTTTGGTTACTGAAGACAAAAGTATTTCCAGGCCCGTAAAGCATGTTGTTCTTCATACATCTTTTCCTACCTGACCTGAAACATCAAGATCCAGTGTTACATTAGACAGCAGAACCAGTTTTATATATTGCACACAACTAAACCAAGCGTAACACTAGAAGTGAGGAAAAGCTGGGCGTTTTGTACAGCTAAAAGTTTGAATACCACATTTAAATGTGATTTTTATTCCCTTAAGGCATCTGTTGTTTAGTACATTGTGTGCTGCAGACCGTAATCATGTGGACCAATAGAAAAGCGTTGAAAGGTGGGATCAGTTTCTAAACAACCACCTTCTATTTTAGCGACTCTATGAACTTAATTTCTGTCAACTAATACTGTTGTCTCGATGGACTGCATGTGCCGAGGTGTCTGTAGTTATTACAGGTTAAATGCTGCAGAAATAGGCCTGTCGGTCACCATGCAGCAAGTTTTAGACCTTAAGAGTCGATCCATTTGAGAGGAATGTAAGGAATCAAGGAGCCGCAGATGGATTGTGGTTATTCCCTTTTTAACATACAGCAAGTTTGTTGAGGATGCTTTCCATCTGCTGTTGCATGCAAAACGCTCCTCTGACAGAGAGGGGTCGGTAACGAGAACATTTTTCTGAGCTAAAGATGTTAAAGATGTTTGATGCTCAAGTCCTCTTTTGAGTTTTTGAAAGACCTCAACTCCTTTTTTCAGTATTCTGCTAAATAATCACATTTATGGAGATATTTTTCATCCTCTGTATGTATTTTCAGTGTCTATTTACAGCGCATGTGGAGGACTGCCTTCACATCAAGAGGACCTCCTGCGGTAAACATGTAATTTTAGCGTTTTTTTGTAAACATTTGACTCGTTTTTTTTTTTTTTTTCACACAGTGCTCCACCTCCTCAGTGTAAAACATGTGGAGTCGCTGCAGACGGGAGGCGACAGGACGGAATTATTTTTCTTCTTCATCTTTAAAACTGTCTCTGATCCACAGTAAACCCAAGTGGGTGTGATGATAGGGCCCAACATCACAGCCCTGCTCAATTTTCTCTTAACCAGCACTCTTACTTCTCTTATAATCCCAGTAGCTGCATCAAAATGATCTCTTTACATATGAACATGTATCTGTTGTATTTCTGCAAAGACCAGGAAGCATCCTGGCTTCATTGAGCCGTTTTAAACTCGTTGAATCGTTGAAGGTATGAACAGGGGGGGGGGGGGGGGGGGGGGGGGGGGGGGGGGGGGGGCAGAGTTTACAGGCTGTTTGTGTTTCTGGCCAGTACGCCTCTGAAACATTCGCTTATTAAAAGCCCTTGATGTGACAGTAGGCCTCCAGGCTGGAGAAGAAGATGTAGAGCAACCAGAGGCCAAAGAACAGCATGGTGGTCAGCAGGCGGGGAACCCTGGGGCCACCCAGCTCCCCGCCGATGGAGGGCCGGCGCCTGAAGAGCAGCACGGCCATGCAGACGAAAGCGAAAATGGTGAAGAGGGTGACAGAGAAGGCCAGCGAACCAGGGTCCACAATGAACTTTTTTCCCTGGATCTGCCAGTAGATGGCGGCCACTGACCAAGCCACGCCGATCCCCAGGAACACGTTGACCGCGTTGCTGCCGGTGACATTCCCAACTGACGCATCGGCGTGCTGATCTTGCATGGCAGCCACTTTGCTGGCAAAGGTGTCTGTAAGAAGAGGGGAAGTGAGAAGCTTAGTGCCTTGGAAAAGGGAACGTCTACTACTTTTTTTGCATTACATGGATTTTTCTAAACGCAAACTGATGCATAATGGGAATGTTAAAGAATAAAAGCATAAAATATATGACCTGCATTTTGTTTTCATTCCCTTGAAGCTTAAATCAAGGCTGACATCTATTTTAAATTAGTGCAGAGTCTCAGTTGCATTTAGAAATGTTAAGGGAGGCTGTCCTGGTGGATGGGGAACCTCCTCCCAGTTTCATCTCTTCTGCAGCCTCTTCCAGGATTATTTTAACCCACTTCCATCCCAATTAAATTCATTTCAGTTTATATATATATATATATATATATATATATATATATATATATATATATATATATATATATATATATATATATATATAGCGCCAATTCACACCACATGTCATCTAAAGGCACTTTACAATTCACTAGATCATACAGTCAAATTGATAAAAAGTTTTTTATCTAAGGAAAACCAGTTGATTGAATCGACTCCTTGACTTGAAGGAAATCCCTCACACTAAGCTTGTAGTGATGTTGGAGAGGAAAAACTCCCTTTTTAGCTTTAATACCCTTTAGAGAAAAGCTTTCAAACATCATAACACTGCCTCTATCAAGCTTTACTGTGAGGGAGTATGTGGGTTGATATAACTGTTCTTTGTGAGTTTGGAGGTTAAATGCACCATCTCTCTTTTGCATAAGTCATGTATGGCCCTGAACACACCAAATTCGATTTTGCGGCCAATTCGACTGCAAATCATGAGGTTGTGGCGTTTAGTGCTCATTGAAAGTCAATGGGGATGATCACACTGACACAATTTTCTGCAAGGGAGCTTGTGTAGCTCTGCCTGAGATAGACGCCAGGTTTATTTTAGTCAGACTACGCACCAAGAAGTTACAAAGCAAAACACATCCTCCACTTTGGTGGAAAATACCAAATAAAATCTGTTAATTGCACATGAGACAGTCAGGTTTCAAGTCGCACAGCAAATTCAAAGCAGGTGGGGCAGAGTGGGACATAAATAATCAATGGAACATTTAAAAAGAACAGATTATTCACCCATGATGAACTTTGCAAAAACAACGAGGGACAGTAGAAAATGCAGCTTATAGCGCTCCTCAGAAAAAAATAAACAAACTTTGCCAACTTCACAGATCTCTCTCTAAGAATCTCCTCTCACTGCCTCAGTCAGCATATAAACTATCCCACATAGCTTTGTTTTCTTTTCTTTAAACATAGTGCCCATTATGTTTTTAATGTAGGCATCTAAAGATTCACAATTTGTTCCGGTTTAAGAAATGCTGCATGAACTAAGTACACAGTAGTGCACAGCAAAAATAGAAGCGTCTGCAAAACCAAAAATTATACTCATAAACACAGAAAAATAACACATAAACATACACAACATATGCAGCAGTTAAAGAACAGTAAAAGCATCAAAGTACAAACCCACTGCAAACCTACTGATCACTGAATACTAGGGAGGCTAAACCTCCCCTTTGAACTTCATAAAATCATTGGTAAAATATGCACTATCAAACTCAAGTAAATATGCACTAAAATGCACCTGATTTTATGAGTATGTTTCATATTAATCAGCTGTTTAGTCAGCTCTCGGACGTAATTTCCCCTCGGCTCTGGAGCAGCAGAACGCTGCCTGTCAGCCTCCAATTAAAATGCCTGTTGAGGTTTGAGCTTTGGTTTATTGAGGTAAGCAGCAAGAAAGCAGAATTGGTGGTCTATAGTGGGGTGATGCTGATTAGCAAACATACTTAAAGTCGTAGGGAAACGGCTGTTCTAACCTTTGCGTTTCTGTTTCACATTCATTTTATGCACTCGAGTAAAGTGTATGAAGTAAATGTGATCGGTCTTTTATCAAGGGGGCAGGATTGTTGTGGCTGAAGGTTCGCAAACAAGTTTGGTTGTAGCCGGTTTCTTCGAAGCATCTTGCTAACCAGTTAGCAACTTAGTGCTAGTAGGTTCCCAATGGGAAATTCCATTGGGACCAAGTAGCACTGAATTGGTGACTTAGAAACGACACTGTCAAGGAACGCTATGGACAAAGGAAACATGCAAGAGGAGCAGGGGCGGATTAAGAAATTTTGGCCTCCTGGGCCTGACATGGTCTTGGCCCCTCAACCCCCCGTGCGTGCGGGCGCACACACACGCACGCACTATGCAAGAAATACTGTATACTGTGAACAGACATGCACACTGTCCTGTACAGAAGAGTGTACATACTGCACACACACTTGTTGAGGTATATTACCAACATGGAACTAAATCAGTGGGCTAAACCATCTCCGTTGCCACCTGAACTACCCCCTTTGTTCTTGCCCACAATGGAACTACCCCACGTTACTCACAGCATGGACCAATCAGCCGATGCGCAGACAGGAAGTGCCCGCACGTCATCCATGGATTAAAAAGCGCAGCGCGAAAAGACTCGCTCTCTTTTTCCATGGGTTTGCAGCCCGTCAGGAGAGGCCCCTTTCACGTGAAATACCAGAAGAAAGCTGACTGGAAGTAGCTTTCGTTTTCCTGCGTCAAAAGTCACGGATCGCAGTGTTCCATCGTGCATAGCAACAGCGCTGACGGGGAGACAGAAGCCTTTGAAGCTGACCGCGGAGTTTCGTTCTCCCCTTCCTTGGACGAATCGGCTGAGAGGACGCTCTTTTGCCGACCACCTCCTAAGATCACCTCCTGAAATCCCTCCTTTCCAACTCGTGAGCAGATCAACCCCTCTGCTGCGGCCCGAGCTGACTGAACTTTCCCGAGGGGCGGACCGGTGGCAGAGAACCTCTGCCCGACAGACACCAAGCTGCGGTTGCCGTGGAAACGCCAACCTCTCTCGGACGACGCATCTCACAGTAAAATCAATTTACTTTCCTTTTGATGCTTCAGGATTGCTGTGCTCAGGCGAGAGAAAGGCAGTTTAGGGTTTTGAATTAATGCTGATGTTCTTTTTTAAATCTGTGCTGATTAAGGGTTTGTTTATTTGGTTAAAATAAGTGTGTGTTTCTGTACTTTCTTTCTTGGCTTTTCCTGTCCTCTTCGTTGTTTCTGCTTTGAGATAGAGATAAAGTTATCACATTCAGCCACGTGGGGTCCCCGTGGTCGCCGCCATCTTGATTACAGGTCGCCCCCCCCATTTCTCTTTGTTCCCCTCACAGCGTGGAGAACAAAGGGGGGTGGTCCCCATTTAGCCACAACCATTGACACACATCACTACATTGCCAGGCAAAAAGGAGTTTTTGCTGAACGCTGCTATTGTTAATACATGTTCAATAATTTACCAATACTAAGCTGGATGTATTAATGTTCATGATCGATTGCACTGCTATCATTACACCTGCTGCTTTGTTAATGCATTTAATCATTTGCTGATTTTAAGTTGGATGTATTAGTTTACACTGATCAATTGCACTATACCTGCTGCTAGCGGACATTAATGAATGTATTAATATCTGGCATATTTTGGACAATTTCAGACGCCAGTAATAGTTTATTTCGTTGTTTCTATCTCGTTTAATTCTTCATTTTCGATTTTTCCTTTGATCTAGTCATTTAATCTACCTCGTGTTTATTTTTCTAGTAGTGTGTAGTGTTTGCATAGATGTTAGATTTCTGTAATCCTGAATTATTAGAATAAAGACATCATTGGTTAATCTGTAGTGGTTTTGGTCGTTCATATAACGGAGGGTTAATCACTCAGAGCAAACTCAATCCCTTTTGGTAATAGTGCGAATAAACAGAGATAGAAGGTTCTTTATTGATAATTTAATAGCTTTGCTGATAACTTAACCGGGGCCACTAGACTGGTGGATACCTGGATTTTAACAGCCGGTCCCGGAACCCTCCAGTTGTGGATCAACAACCGGTAAGTAGATAATTCAGGGCTATAATTATCCACCTAAGAACACTAAATTGATTTTGCCTTCGATGTTGAATAGGATAATAATTAACTATAACTCCAGTTCTAGTTAACCATCTATTCATTATCTGCAGGACATTATTTTTGCACAACAACTATTAGGTATACCACACAGACACTGACAAGCACAGGTTTCACACAGACACAGGGGGAGGGGATAAATGGCCTAAAAATAAACATTTTGGGAAATGATTATGCCCACTTCAGTGATGGTGCATTGGGTCATTTGAGAGATATTATGTATTGGAAGTTGGTTGCTATCATGAAATAAACCCCCCACCCCACCCAAAAAACTAAATCGGACATGATTTTTGCCCCCTTTTCCTCCCTTCTATCATTAAAAATAAATTAATATCTTAGGAAAACACTTTGGCATAACGGCAGCTGTGCAGCAAATTGAGGCTCAAAGTCTGTATCTATTTGTGGTTAAGCTTGAGGAGAAGGAGAAAGGTAAAATGATAACATGCATCGGAGAGCACCACAAAGAAAGGTGTAGGCCAGTTCATGGTACAAGGGCTGCATGCAGGTCAAGATAGCCCATTTCCAAGAATGCTATAGTGGCTGGACAGGCACTGGACATGTCCTGAACTCAGTGTCAGACGTGGCTGCCGAATACTTGGATGAAGTGAAGCAGCTGACAGATCTCATGCTGCCCCATCTGAAGACTGTCCTGGCCAGGCAGAGGATGGATGAGGAGAACTTCCCAATGGACCCTGTCAGTGAACAGGCTAGTAACATTGATGGCACCCCTGTGCACAACATTGGGATGGAGAGACAATGTGGCAAGGTGGACTACAAACTGAAGAAGTTGGGCACACTGAACGCAGTCAATAGGTCAATAATTTTACAGAAGTGCCAGGAGCTTCAGAGGTTTCAAGGCAGCAGCACAAGCAAAAAGGGAGGTTGAACTCAACTGGAGTAAATTCATGAAGGCAAAATTCGAGAGTAGGGCAGATGAGAAACAAGAGATGGCTCAAAGAAAGGAGAGTAAGAGACTAGACATGCTGGACACACTGAAATCTTTTGATGGCC